GAACAGAGATGCAAAAATTCTGGCCAATAAAAGTTAACAACATATCAAAAAAATAACTCATCATGACCAAATGGAATTCATATCAGTGATGCATGGATGATTCAACATGTGAAAGACATTTCATTCTACTGCATAAATAAGGTAAAGAATAAGAACCACATAATAGTATCAATAGATGCAGAAAAGCATTTGTCAATATCCAACATCCATTCCTAATAAAAAGACTCAATAAGATAAGAATGGAAGGGACACTCCTCAACATAATAAAGGCCATATATGAAAACCTAATGGCCAATATCACACTCTCTGGGGGAAAACTGAAAATATTTCCCCTGAAACAGGAACTAGACAAAGGTGTTCCTTATCATCACTCTTATTGTACTGGAGGTCTAAGCAAAAACCATTAGACAACAAAAAGAAATCAAGGAAAAGGAAAGGTGAAGTACTCACTATTAAACAAATATTTACATGTATACAGATAGTTTAATTTTATATAAAAAGAATGCTAAGGACTCTACAAAAAAGATTGTTGGAAACAATTGAGAGATTTGGTAAAGTAGCTAAATACAAAATCAACAAGCACAAATCAATTGGATTTATATAGCAAAGAGAGTTCTGAAAAAGAAATCAAGAAAACAATACCTCTTTCAATAGCCACAAAAAAGGATGATATATCTAGGGGGAAAACCTAACCAAAGAACCAAAAGTCCCGCACAAAGAAAGTTACAAAACATTATTACAAGAAACCAAAAAAACCTACACAAATTGAAGAATAGCCTGTGTTCATGCATAGGAAGGCTTAATATTGTGAAAATGTCAATCTACAAGTACAAAGCAATTCTGATCCAAATGTCAAATAGACAACAAATTGCCAATTTCATATGCAGAGGGACGAGGCCCAAGATAAGCAAATAACATCTCAAAAAGAAGAACAATGTAAGAGATCTTGCACTACCCAACATCAACACCTATTACAATCCACAGTTGTCCAAACAACCTGGTAGTGGTATAATAATAGACACATAGACAAATGGAACAGGATAGAAACCCCATAAATAAAAGTCTCCATCTACAGGAAATTGATTTTCAACAAAGTCCCTCCCTGCCACAACAACAACACAAAAACATTGAAAGGAAAGGAACACTCTCTCCAAAAATAGTGCTGGGAAAATGTGCTCTCCATCTGCAGAAGAACGTACATCTTGAAAACCATTTTGACAAAGGAGACTTTGCCTCCATTAGGGTCAGTTTTCATGACTGGGGAAGAAGAAGACCATCAGTTTTTCCATACAAAATTGTGCTAAAGTCACCCCAAGTCAACAAAACACTCCTACCATTGTGATAAGTGAACCTTACTGGAACTGCACATCAAGATTGGGGAAGGAATGTATATGTCTAGGAGCAGTCTATCTACAGTGACACCTCAGTTGTCGAATAGCTCCTAGCTTGAGCTTGACACTATTCGGAAGCAAAGTTTGAAAATAAGATTGGTCAGTGCTTCATAAGTTTGCTCCATAGCCCAACTGAAAATCCGACTTGAAAAAACCTGTCTGGACCATGAGTGAGTCACAAGTTGTATCTTGCTGAGGACACAAAGGAGTGGTGCTTTAGTCTAAGTACCACTCTCAGTCAGACAACATAAAGTGCTTCTATTAGTAAGTCAAAACAATCTTCATTGTGCTTAGTGATAGCAGCAGTAAAGCTAAGAGGAAACTGTTAGAACCATGATAGAGTTAAAGGAAGAAATCATTGCGAAATTTTAATCAGCTCACCACTTGTCTGATTTGGCGGCAGACTATAATATAATATCAACATTGGGGGAGAGGGAGGGAGTGATCAGAGCAGCTAATAAAGCTAAACATGTGAAATCGTTAACCAAGAATCAAAGAAGCCAGACCATCGAAGAGATTAAAGAATTACTGTTAATTTGGATAAATCAAAAACAACTTGATGGAGAAAGTGCATCTGAGACAGTGATATGCGAGAAGGCTAAAAGCCTCCGTTGTGAATTTCCAACTGTTATTTTGGGGCCTCGGAATTAGTTATTTGATTTTTTCCATTATTTCTTATGGGAAAAATATGTTCAGTTCTCAAAGTTTTCCGTATTCAAACATGAATTTAGAGTTAATTGAGTATGACAACTGAGGTGTCACTGCCCTTCTGATAGTAGGAAAATGGGGAGGAGCAACCATTTATTGGGGGTGGGGGTGGGGGGAAGCTTACAACAGTTATATAGAACTCAAGGGGAGAATATGCCTGGTTCTATATTCCTAATTCTACATTTTTAACCTACTTTCTGTCTAGACCTTGGTGACCCAAGCCATTTGCTTCAGACTACTGGGACTTTAGACTCTTCTTTAGAGGAGCACAACATCCCTCATAGGTCACATCAGAAGGACTTGTGGAAACTCCACTAAGTGAACTGGGCTTCACCTCAAGCTCACCTGTAGGCCCTGGACTTAAGGCTGAAATTCTCTAATATGAGAAGAAGCAGATGATTGCTATCCCAAGGGTATAGAACCGGCGTTGTTGGACTCTGATTCATTGTGCCTTGAGGGTGCCCAATAAATGGTAGGCCAGTTCTGCCATATACGTCATATTTCAATGACTTCTTTGTTTTATTATGACATATATTAATCTGGTAGGCATGACTCTGACACTGTCAGTGAGTATTATTCAAAGTTTTGCCCTATCTCTAACCCCAATATTTATGTAAATAATAACAAAGTTTTGACCTATCACTAATCTCATTATTTGTATAAATAGTGTCCAGTCACTTAAGGGTTTAACCTGTACAAGTCAAAATTTTATGTATTGAAGTTGGTAGCTGGCCTATACTTGTATAATTTCCATTTCTCAACTGTTTTAAATTTTATATCACTGACTACATTAAAGACACTATCAATAGAATTACCTTTTGCCCCAGTGGGATACCTCTGATGATGTCTTTAAGGTGAACCAGGGACATTTATAAAACATTTAATTCTAGCCCCAATGTAAGAACAATTAGTTCTTATGACATGACCTTGCTTGATACTTGCCCTCAGTAAGAGATTATTGACAATACGGATGCTATAGCAAAATGTGGTGAAGCAACTAGATGGTGTGTGGCTATCAGAAAGAATAACATCCAGGGTCTAAGCAACCATCTAAGTGAGACATCAGCTAAGTCCACATGGAAGAAACACACCAGCCTGTGAGACCCAAGAATTGTAACTAATATAATTTCATAACCAAAAGAGGGAATAATATCAGAGCTCAAATTGTGAGCACCTGGTTTGTAGAAGGCTATAGATGACAGTGGAATCCAAAATCAATTTACAGAGTCCATGCGTAGATTAAGCCTCAGGTAAATCCTCTCTGACCCTAGTGGAGGGATGTAAGTAGTCTTGCTATCAGACAGAGATCATTGTAAAATCTATGATGGCACATATAGTTAGATTAAATTGAAATATCTTACCACTTGATCTCCTTTTTGACCCATTGAAAAGTTGTTTGGTTTAAGGGGGAAAAAGTGAAGGGGAACTCCACAGGGATTAAGGCTCCCATGGATCCCCTCTGACCACAGACCAGGACTGTGACTAGCCTTGCTCTCATGCACAGTGCACTGGACGGTGCATTACTGCAGACACAATTGGGTTAAAATTTAATACCTTATCATTTGATATTGCTTTTGACCCAATTTGAATTTGTTCCAGTTTTTTAAAATCATTTTATTGGGAGCTCTCACAGATGTAGTAACAATTCATCATTCCGTTAGATCAAGCACAATTGTACAATTAGTGCCACCTCTGTTTCAAAAGATTTTGTTTCTTCTTTAACTCCTTGATAACAGCTCCCCTTTATACCCTTCCTCTCCCTTCCTTGTTTTTACTTTATATATTATTCTTATTATTACTTTCTGTGTCTTATACCATCCAATATATCTGTTCACCTACACTTCTGTTATTCATTCCCCTCCAGTGGGACTATACAGTCATCATTGCAATTAGTGCCTCCTTCCCCCATTCTACTTTATTGTTGATTAAGAATTTCCTCTTTTACTTTTTAATGCTATTTGGGCTTTATGTTGGTGGTGTTTTGTATGTTTTTCTGTATATGGAATCTATAGACATGGTATCTAGATTAATGGCTCCTTGGGGGTATGACAGGGGAGGTGTGGGGAAATAGGAAGCTAATAACGATGAATACAAGAAAGATGAAATTTTTCTAAAATTGATAGTGGTAATTATTGTACAACTTTTTAAGATATGACTGAACTATTGAAGTATGTGATAAGTGGATTATGTGCCAATAAAATTTTTTTAAGTACTTTAGCATTATAAAAAATTTACAGTCTAAGAAATTCACAGGAAAAGTTATACTCTGCTCTATAGGGTTGTTATGAGTTGGAATGACTTGATTGGAGAGACAGTGAGAACTAGACTAAGAAAAATTGTCTGCAGGCATCAAGTAATTGTGTTAGACAGTTAGATAGTTTAGACCTGGGGGGTGGGTAGGGGTAGGAGTGGGGACTTGGAATGGAACCTGATATTTTGGATAAGAAATTGACCAGAAAAACAACTCTACACAAGGTGACTAGAAGGTTAAGGGTGGGGAAGGGGAAGGACTCACAGGTTCAGGGAAATAAAGGGATGATAAGAAGGAAACCCAGCAGAGATGCAAGGCATTCAGACTGCTTCTGAACATCTGTGATGTGTACTGAATCTTTCCTATGCCTCACTGACCCTCTGTGCGCTCACTTGCAATAAAAATGTCTGTGTTTTGCTGCGTCTATGTCTCTTGACCCAAATTCCTTCTCCCAAGAAGATGAAGCCCTGAGGATTCAAACCAATTTGGGACCCACTGTCACAATTGCAGAGACAAGTTTAAAAAATGTTTTGTTTGGAATAAGTCTCTGCATGTACACACTGGAACGTACTTTTGACAATATTTTTGACTTACTGTTGTAAGTTTCATAATCACTAATAAGAGGAAATTTTAAAGGGAAAAAAATTTACCCAGAAATGTGACAAGGTATTTATGAGGAATGATTTTTCTATCATATGATCCGGAATATCAAGGAACATTTTTCCTGTCACCATTCCAGCATTGTTAATGAGGATAGTTACATCACCAACTTCTTGTTTAACCTGAACAGAGGAAAGCAAAAACAGAGAATTAATTTGAAGCACCGTATTTTCCCTCCTTTTGTACAATTAGAATTAGACATTTACTTTGCACTTTTTATGTGGAAAATTGGTCATTTTAAAGTAACTATGATTAAATACATTTTTAAAAAACCACTTTGACACTTAGATTTTGTCATTTCCTTTTGAAAATCTAGATGCTTTTTATAGAAATTACCTATTGTTGAAATATTCCACTAATTGCTATTTCAGTTTTGGCCTTGACCTTTAATTCAGGGTCAGTGTGATTAATAATGTTGTAAGAGGGGGACCATGAATGTCTTTCTCAGATGGTATTTAGGTCTTCCATCAGCAAGCCAAGGATTGACAAATACTTCTCTTGGGTCACCTTTAAAACCCTCTGTAAGTAGAATGGTAGAAGATCTACTGCATTTCCTCTGTTGCTTGGCCGTTTGGCAGGAAGACATCCCTAACTCCTATTTTCTCTCTATAGATGTCTGTGGTACAGTACATTATGTCTAAAATATTGCCACAGAGCTAATAATTACCCATGGCAATTATTTCCTTGAGTTTCACAGCTGTGATTGTGAAACTTATTCTAAGTTATGTTTATTGTTCTAAAAACGTTCTGTGTTCTTCTCTGTTGAGTTCCCTACCTCACCTATTTTTATTAACCACAACCCAATCTGCCATATTCAGGGTGTGTGTGCTTCCAAATAATGATATTCTCTAGTTTACTATTTTGTTTCAAGTGTCATATCTATAGATGACACTGATAAAGCAGGTCCAGGGGTAAGACATAAACTGTACGTAACAAACAATGACTGTCCTCTCCAGTAGAACTGGCTCCTCTGTCTGAAACAGCCAGGACTTTGAACCAGTCCTTTCCAGTTCAACCCCATGATAAAAAGGGCTATTTTCATTTCCATCCGGATAATACTGAATTGGAACCTACAATTTAACTAAATCCTTCTTATTTATAGATACCCAGGTGATTCTTAGGTATTCTGATTAAACAAAGACATCAAAATATGAAGTTATTGTTCCTTGATATAAATATTTTATATGTATACATAAGAATCACATTAAGTATCTTGTTAAAATGTAGATTTTGAATCATTATACTTGAGTGGAAGGCAAATTCTCAGCAGGGGATTGAAACAGAAGGAACCAGCTTAAAACCATAGATAAAGCGATATGTTCTTTGTTTCCCAAAAAGAGGCACTACCTACTGTGATTGGGTTTTGTTAAGTTCTGGTACATTCACTGCTATGTGCCACCCAAGTGGTATGATATGGGGATACCAGGCAGATACTGTTGCTGATGTAGTAGATTAGAACTAGCTATACAAGGAGAAGTTAATATTTTTGAACTGAGGGTGTTAGTTTCCTCTACTTTGCAGAGAGGCAGAGAAAATGAAAGCATTCATGAGATTTGTACGTGAGATATTTCATTGGCTTGAGGAAAGAACGAACAAGGGCTAACTCTTGACCAATGAGGGAGCCAAGACCAATAACACACAAGGAGATGGAATATTTAGCATAAGAAAGTGCTGAATACTTAAGATACACCTAGAGTGGTCAGATCACCATAGCCCTCTCTAAGAAGAAGCTCTGATACTCTAAGGACACCAAAACCAAGGGGATTTATATGGAGGCCATTTCATTTCCATTGCAGCTGTCAGAAATAATTAGGAAAATGTCCTAATTTATAAGTGATGAGCCAGAGGTTCTGAGAAATCAATATTTTGTCATATGACACCTGACTTTTGAAGAAAACAACAGCATCTTGGGATACTTAATGTCTTGGGAATGTTACTATTCTCTAGTCAAAACTATTCTTATTATGAGAAACAAGAAAACAAACCTCATGAAGCTGCACCTGCGCATGCATGCACACACTGAGGTATTAATGATTGGTCATTGGGAATAAAATGAAAATCTTGTTATCTCTAGTGTCTGGGGTCTTAAAGGCTTGACGGTAAACAAGTGGCCATCTAGCTCAGAAGCAACAAAGCCCACATGGCATAAGCACACCAGCCTGTGCGATCACAAGGTGTCGAAGGGATCAGGTATGAGGCATTATCAGATCAAAAAATCATATCATTGTGAATGAGGCAGGCAGTGCGGAGTGGAGACCCAAAGCCCATTTGTAGGCAACAGGACATCCCCTTACAGAAGGGTCTCGGGGAGGAGACGAGCCAGTCAGGGTGTGATGTAGCAATGATGAAACATACAACTTTCCTCTAGCTTCTAAATGCTTCCTCCGCACCCAATATCATGATCCCAATTCTATCTTACAAATCTCGCTAGACCAGAGGATGTACACTGTTACAGATAGGAACTGGAAACACAGGGAATCCAGAACAGATGATCCCTTCAGGACCTGTGGTGAGAATGGCGATACTGTAGGGTAGAGGGAAGGTGGGTTCAAAAGGGGGAACCGATTACAAGGTTCTACATATAACCTCCTCCCTGGGGGGAGGACAACAGAAAAGTGGATGAAGGGAGACGTCGTACAGTGTATGATATGACAAAATAATAATTTATAAATTATCAAGGGTTCATGAGAGAGGAGGGAGTGGGGAGGGAGGGGAAAAAATGAGGACCTGATGCCAGGGAGAGGAAATGTTTTGAGAATGATGTGGGCAATGAATGTACAGATGTGCTTTACGCAATTGATGTCTATATGGATTGTGATAAGAGTTGTATGAGCCCCTAATAAAATGATTTTTAAAAAAGAAAAAGAAAATCTGGTTATCTCAATAAAAATATTTATTTGTTAACTAGACTTTTATTTTTTTCAGTAACTAGACTTTCATGTTAGAAATTTAACCGTTAAAATATGTCATTACTATTAAAATTACCCATGATTTCAGGAGTTTGGATAATGCCTGAGCTTGGTTGAAATTTTTGTAGATAAGAACTGAGAAGCCCAGGTGGTGAGGCTTTGTCTAACATACTTTGGACACTTTAGCAGCTATATGATATTGGACAAGTTGTTCCTTATTTCCTGCATTTGTAGATGGGAATGATATTAATGACATGCATCTACTATGATTGTGTTGTATTGTTCTTACGTATGAAGCGCTTAGATTTATAACTATGCAAAATTTCAGCATTGCTGTTAAAGAACATGACATAGACACAGGAAAGATTTGACTATTATTAACATACTATTTATCATGATTATTAACATACTATTTATCGAACAAATATCAGTAAGCTAAGCCTAAGAGGAATTTGAATCTAGAAATATGCTAAATGTTTTATTGTTTGTAGCCTAACTACATAACAACACTGAGTATGCAACAGAATAAAGAAAAGAAAGCCAAGTATAAAGTTTAAGTGATCTCGAAGACACATAGTTCAAGCCTTTTATTTTATAGGTGAAGAAACTTGAAACTAAAGAGAAATGTCTTGGCAAAAAGTATAAAGCCAATTTGTGGCAGAGCTAGGATGGAGTCCAGGTTTTACTCAGGGTTTTTTTCTTGAAAGGAAACCAGTCGCCATAATCATAAAAATAACAGTTGGGCAATGATGGGCTCAGAAGGGTTTTTGGATTCTTACCTGTATTGCCGGGAGCCATCCCCATTGTGGAAGACACAGGTAAGATTCCTGATACATAGACTCAACAGGAGAAGGCGTTTAGCATGCTCATAATAACCTTCTCTCATTCTTTCGTTATCAAAATACATACCAGATACAAAATTTTTCTTTGATATAAAATCAAATCCAGCTTACCTGGTTCGCAACACTGTAGACCTCTTGCCTGTTACTGCAGTCACAAGTATAGGTGAATACTTTCACACCACCATTTTCCTGGACTTGTCTACTTGTTTCCATGTTGCCTTCTTTATTAATGTCCCAGAGAACTAAAATGGCTCCAAGACGGGCAAATTTAATGGCCAGCTGTCTCCCGAGTCCACTCCCAGCTCCTGTTATAAGTACAATTTCTCCAGCCACACTTTTCTTCCTCTTGGGAATTATCATGTAAACTAAAGATTCTGACAGGTAGTATAGAACTTTTCCCAAGATCTGGAGAGTTTCCAGAAATGTTTCCATTTCAATTAAGTGACGAATGGTATGTCCTAATAACAAAAAAGGTAACTGAAAAATCAACTGCATTATGACAAAATTACAAATGTATATAAATATTTTAGTATTCATCTTTGTGACAGTGGTTTCCTAATCTATGTATTTTAGCAACAACTGTGAAAATAGCTGAATTCTTTTTTTTCCTTGTATAAATTATTTTTATTTATTATTGTAATTAGATCTTCACAATCAAAGTTGTCTTTTTACCATCTGTGTTTTGTTAACGTGAAATAAAATTGTAGTTATAAGCAAAAGTTGGTTGCATAGGGAACAATAGTATATTACCTTGAACAGAAATAAAAGAATTATTTGTTTTAAAATGCAGGATTTTGTTTGCTACATAGCCTTTTCACCTAGCAATTACATCACAAAAATTTTAATTTCAAAAGCGAAAATTGCTTGGGCTGTTGGAACGTTAGAGAGTTGGAATGTCTAAGCTTCTTAAAGAAAAAGAAACGTGCTCTGTATGTGTTCCCTGCAAGAGGGAATTTAGATTTACAGTTACATGGAAATCATGTACCAGACTCCTACCTTACCCAGTGCTCGTCACAGCCTCAACTGAGAGCTTTTGAGGAGTCCTGCTAAGTGTTTGTCTCATCATGGAAGCACACATCACGGAAGCACAGATTTGCACATATACATAACATGATGATAGAAAATAAGATTTAGTGAATTAGATTTCTAAATTTCGGTTCTAAGTCTCCTTGTCGATACCAGTAGATAAGTATGCAGGCAGTAAAGCTAATCAAAGAGATGCAGACAGCAAAAACATACTCAGCGGTTTGGGAGGTAGACGAGGGGAAACAAAAGCACTGATCAGCGTTACTAGAATCAGTAAGGACGTTAAACTGCCGACAATGAAGTCCTCCATGCTTGGTTTTCTGCACTCTCCCCAGCCACTCCAGACCGCGCAGGAGATCTCCCAGGAGTCTCAGTCCCCACTGCAAACGCCTCCTTACTGGGCGCTTCTCCCCTGCTCCGCAGGGCGCCCGGGGAAAGCCTAGGGCGGAGGCCGGTGGGGCCGCTGGGCCCTGGGGACCAGGGCGCGCTGCCCCAGCCCCAGCTCGCCGCCTCCTCCCAGCCGCTCGGCAGCCCCGGGTGCCTGCTGAATTCTTCAGTTATATCAGCAACTCTGTTAACCACAACCTTTTGACTTTACTTTTATGGTCTAACCCCACTTGACCTTCATGAAGGTAGGTTGTAGATCTCTAGGGCAGCATTACAGTTAGAGACATTAGATAATCTTTGAGGAAAGCAAAGACCTTAGATGCTCAGTCTGGTCATTCTTTTTTTTACTATAGTAATATATTTGATGATATCATAATTCATAGAAATTTGATTTTCATTAGGCAGTTGATCAATAATATGGAAAAACTATTGTAGTGCAGATAAATTTTTGTACATTTTACCTGATCCTCACAATATTCCCCTGAGCAGAGTCAAACCAAGTATGTCATCAAACAGACAATGCCAGGAGCAAGAACAGTCATGTAGTGTGGCCTTTCCCAGTCTAGCAAGCTGTTCTTGTGGCAAGTGCGTCCCTTTCTCAGAGTAACCCTGAAAACGTCAAGAAAGGATTTCTGTTTGGGGCAACACTCTCTTGACTTTTGGTAACATTCGTAAGCAATAATATCATGTAGAAATTAGATATCGACTTCTAAAACTCCCCAAATGAAACAGACTATGACCATTAAAGTAAATCGCAAACACTAGCACCATGGTAACGTTTACAGTTGATAATGCAGTGTTACAAAGAGTATTTAACAATTGAGGTAATGATCACACAAGTAATAACGGTGTGAATGGACTTTTAACTCACACTAAAAACTATAAAATATTGCTGAAATAAATTAAGGAAGACCTACATTAATAGAAAGACATTGTGTGCTCCTGGCTGAGACCTAAATCTTACCTGCAGAAACTGTGCACTCCAACAGAATAGGTGTCTGTCCTGACAGATGAATGCAAGCTAATCTCTTATATTGGCTGCTATCTCTTAAATTATTTTGCCTACTTCTGTGTCATCATCTGGTGATGTCTACACATCTGCTAGATAGTGGTGTGGCAATAGCAAGAGTGTGACTGTGTTTCACCCATGTTCCCATTAATGCAGTGATTAACATCAACTCAAACTCCCTGCCATCAAGTTGATTCGAATTCATAGCGACCCTATAGTTCCTGTCATTCAACAGTTTCTTCATTTTTCACCTGTTAAAGTGACCCACAATAAAGGATTGGCAATCACATGATTGTAATAGGCAGAATCCTGCCATATTGTCATTCACATTCCCTGAAATATGTACTTCAGTGACGAGAACAGAAGGATGGACTTGGCACCAAGAGGCAATTATGAAATCCAGTCGCTAACTCAGTTAAGCAACGTTATGCTCAGAGTGCATTGACTCTCTCCAATTTTTCTAACAAACATTTGTTTCAAAACAAAGAAAATACCAATATTACAAAAGAATTCCAAGAACATATACTTAGATGCAACAATTGTTAGCAACGGAGTATATTTGCTTTCCTTCTCTTTTTTAAATGATATTTTTGTGGGAAAAAATATGCACAACATGAAATTTTCCATTTTACCCATTTTAAACCAATTGTGCAAACATCATCATTTGTTTTAAAACATCACCCTAATGGAAACTGTCCATTAAGCAACAACTCATCATTATTCCCCAAGGTCCTTGGCCATATTAATAACCAATTGTGTCTTCAGTTTTGTATAGATAAATATTTCATATCGTACATATGTACATAAAGTACAAAATTTGCACTTTAGTGAGTGGCTTCTTTCCCTTGGCATAATGTATTCAGAGTTTATATATGTGGTAGAATATAAAAGGGCTACATTCCTTTCTATCCCACTGCTATTGAGTCCATCTTGACTCAGCAATTTTACAGAGAGTTTCCAAGTTTGTAAATGTTTACAGGAACAGAAAACCCGCAGCTTTCTTCTGTGGAGTGGCTAGTGCATTTGAACAAGTAAGTTTCTGTTCACAGTCCGAAACTGACCCCACACTGATACCAGGGCCTTTTTTTTATCATTTTATTGGGAGCTCATACAGCTCTTATCACAATCCATACATCCATCCATTGTGTCAAGCACATTTGTACATATGTTGCCATCATCATTTTCAAAACATTT